CTATTATCCCAGCCCTGAACAGACTACCTCTGAATTTTAAAAAATGTATCAAATTGTACACTTAATTTTTTTGTTTTTTATTATTTGGAGGGGGAAGTAATTAGATCTATTTATATATTTATTTATTTTTAATGGAGGTACTGGGGATTAAACCCAGGACCTTGTGCATGCTAGGCATGGATTCTACCACTGAGCTATACCCTCTCCCCACCTCTGAATTTTTGTGTGTGAGAGAAATAAACTTCTATCTGCATAGTATCTTGTTATTTTGTTATTGTTAATTAGGACCAAACCTAATATTAAGTAATTTGTTCAGATCATTCCCAACTTTTTGCTATTATTAATAATGCTAAACATATTATCATTTTTCTTGAGGATAGAATCCTTAAATTTATTTTGTCAGTTCTTTTTAGCCAAATTTATTGAGGTTTAATATGCATATAATTAAATTTATTTTTTAGGCACACAGTTTTATGACTTTTGACAAACCCATAGTCATGGAACCTCCACTACAATCAAGATAAAGAAAGTTCTGTTACCTAACCCACCAAATTCCCTTATACCCCTAGTCAACCTGTCCCCACAGCCCCAGCTCCATGAAAACACTGATCAATTCTCTACGTGTGTAGTTTTGCCTATTCTAGAATGTCATATAAATGGAATACAGTATGTGCCCCTGAGTCTGACTTCTTCTAGCATAATTCAATTGAGATGCGTTCACGAATGAGTCAGCGCACTGGGCAATCGGAATATTCCTAGAAGCCTCCCATGGACCTCATAAATATATCCTACTATGCTCAACCCAACTTCCTCTTGACTTAGAGTGACTCTGTGTCCATATGCCTACAGTAGATCAGTTCATGCCTACTAGTGTGCCTGGTTAATAGCATCCTTTGCTCTCAGGTGTTACATTTGGACAATACCTTATGGTCACCCTATCTTAGAAGGGTCCTTGAAATGCTTATGGATGTTTAAATGTCACCAGACCTGAGGGAAACTGATGATGGAGGGGAAATTGGAGTGGAAAGAGATAGAAAACTTAACCAATTATGGTAAAATTATCTTAGTTTTGTAAATTTTACAAAATGGCCATATAAACATAATTCTAGGGCCCCTATTGTACTAATGAGGGGCCCTGAAGCTTATGTGTTACTAGTGTTATGCTAAGTTCATCTCTGACAATCACCCTGCCCTTAGCTTCATCCCTCAGTTCGATCCTCCATCACACTTGGTTCCTCTAAGTCCTGAATCTCTCCTGGATTCTGTGAGGTCAGCTGGTTCCTTGAACATGTATTTTGTTGTTGCTGTTCTTGGGGCTTCTTCCACTGTTCTGAACCAGAAAGACTTTCTCCACCCACTTTCTTTCTTCCAAATTTCTTTTTTATTCACCTGTTTCTTCTCGTATACTTAAAAAAAATCTTTGTAGTTTTATACCTTTTTCATTCTTTAAATTACATTTTAGTGAGGTATGGGAAGAGAGAAGAGCCATGTTCAGTACAGTGTGTTTTTGGAAAGAAGGTGGCAGCACTCTGCACCATGATCGGATATAGCCTCAAATTGGTCACATTCAAGAATGCGATTCTTGCGTGAGTCCCAGGGTCTCAAGGCACATGCAAAATA